TAAAAAGACGGGGGGGGGGGGGGGGGAGGGGAGTCTTGGTCCCCCTCTCCCGCTGAGCTAGGCATGATGGGAGGCTACTGGGTGAAGACCTAGGAACAAAGTGAGAAAGAGCTGTGTTTTGTAGGAAAGGTATTAACTTGTTCCTGAACAAAAGAATGAGAACTTGAAAGGGTTATTTTCTGATGTTTTGGCATCCTTCTCTTTGCCCCTTCAGAGATCCACCCAGCGTGCCTTGTGTTGAAGCTTTAAATCAATGGGAATAGGCCAGAAGGAAATAAAAGCAGCTCACAATGTGACAAGGAGTGGTGTCTGGGAAAGGACCAAGTGTAGCAGCTGATAAAGGTGAGTGAAAGAGGAGATTCTTCACAGAAACGGACCATCATGGATGGGGGCAAGACTCCCCATGCCACATCTGTCCTCAGTGTTCCCCGATGCACCATGGGTCACACCTGTTAGCTTGGAGGGACCTGGATGCCTGAGTCTTCAAGGCAGGGTGTCCCTGCTGGGGGAGGACAGGACAGGGGATGCTCAGTAGCAGTGCCCTTGGGTGAGCCCCTATGTCAGACCGAGTGTGAGGGCACGATGCTGCCTTCTCACCTGTGGGCAGTGAGGGCCAGAGTGGCCGTGGTGTGGGTGGGCATACACAGGTGGGCAGCTGTGAGCCCACAGGTGCCTGTGCTGGGTAAGGAGGGAGGGCATGGCTGGGAGTGTAGCTGCCAGGGCATGGGGCTTGTGGGAGGGCAACCAAGGCCACATCTGCAAGCACCCTGATGTGTGTGCTGACACGTACTCTTTTTTAAAGTCACTTTGGTTCAACTAAGATTTGTTTTAGTAAGCGGAAACAGGTTCTGCAAAATTACTTGCAATGGAAAATTTATTCTAAATTGTGTCCTGTCCATGACAAACTAGGTAACTATCTGTAGCATACTGTTCTTCCCATTTCTCTCTACTTGGCTCAATCTCGCTCTTTTCAATCCATTGGGATGTCCTTGTTCCCAGCCCATGCCTAAATACCTGATGCATTCTGGGGTTTGGGTTGGTGTTTTTTTTCAGATCACTCTGTATTACCAGAAGCAATGGGTGTTTCCAACTGGTGATTTCACATTTACGTGAGGGTAGAAATTGAACACATCCAGGGTGGCTTGGCCCGGGCGCCAGTTCCTTTGTACACCTTTTATAATTTTCCTTTTCCCCCTATCACTTCTATTCCTCCCCTCTGCTCCTCCCCTCCCTGCCCCTCTTTGCCTCCCCTCCCTGTGCTTCCCTGGTGGCATTGCCGGCTCTGCACAGGCCCAGTTTCTCTAATCAGATGAAGCCGCAGGATTATCTCTCTCCCTCCCTCCCAGGCTCCATTTTATTTCCTCCCCAGCCAAGGGGGGAGGCAGGAAGGGGCGTCACATCTAGGCAGAGGAAACCCCATCTCCCCGTCTCCTGCCTTTGATGCTCTCTAACAATCCCTCCTCCTCCCCCCTATCATATGCTCACCTTAGTGTCAACAGCATCGGGCGGATCAAGGAGCCCAGTTTCTAAAGGAAATCTGAACTCTTGGCTTTCGTTCTCCTCAGATTTCTGAGCATCTATTTTAAATACCCTCCAAGTAACTTGGACAGGGAAGCTGGATGTGCAATCTCTGAGTAAGGGCAAGGTAAGGACCACGGGAGTCACGCATTGCCCGTTCTCTCGTCTCCTCTAAGGACACCGACTCCTCTCTGTTTTGCCAGCAAGTCTTTGAGAGTAACAAAGCAGATGAGGGGAAGGGAGAGGAGCTGCACAGAGACAGACCCAGGCTTCTGTAAGTGCTGTGTTGGCAGCAGGGGGTTGATGGCTGGACTGAAAAGCCCAGGGAAATAGAGTTTTTCTCTTTCACTAAAACAGTGGGAATTATGGCTCTGAGCTTTAATTGAATTTAATGTAGTTCTGCGTAAGGTGGGGGTTTTTGTGCTGGTGTCTTCACTTAGATGTGTATGTATTTGTCTTGCAGAAAGCGTTTCTAGAATATACTTGTCAGTCTTTGGGAGAGAAAAAAGCCCATAATCCCATTCATCTTATTCCTTTGCACATCTGCAAGTTTATGAAGATGCTTTTTGATTATCTGTTGTGTGTATGTTGGGGTGTCGATACTAAAAAAAGAAAAGTGTAAATTGTATTGCTATAAATTCTTACCTTTTAGTATTAATCTGCCAGAGAATGGTTTCCCTTGTTTTTTCCACCATGTGTACCGCATATTTTTTAAATTCCTAAGAAGTTAATATCCAACACAAGAGAAAAATGAGGAATATTTCAGTGCCTCTGCAAATCAGCTTTGTTTTACACTCTTCTTTCCTAGATAAATGGTCGATAACATTTAGAATGACTGATAAAATTTTCTTCATGTCTTTTCCAAGGTTTGATTTGGTCTGACTTTTTATTGTCACTAGAGTGAATGTGTTAAATTGGAAAACATAGTAGAAGAGCGTTTTGTGCATATGTTGTAGTTCATAACCTCCTATGATTGAAAGTAAGAATTTGTGCTGGTGCCCTTCTGGATTTTAGGGGAAGAGGTTTAAAAGGGAGGGGGAGAGCAACCAGTTATTTCTGTTTAGAGAATTCTAAACATGAAAGGTGCCTGGGAAGATAACTGTTGGATAATTCTATTTTGTAAAATGTTGAGCTTGTGCATAAATAAGATGGGCCATACAAAGATCAAAATCTACCTCCTTTCCAGTGACTCATGCTTCAAAGTAATTTGATGCAAAAATGTTGATTATTTTCTTGCACCAAGATATTGATTAAAGCTTGCAAATAGTGGTTTGCATGTTTAAGGTTAAGCAAGTGTCTCAATGTTTGCAGGATCTAGATCGCAGCAAGATCTGAGTTCAAAGACCTCTGCAAGGAGTCTTTGTGTAAAAGAATTAGGTTTAGGGGAGGTTTCATTTATGAGGGTGAATTAGATGAGGGCTTCATGTTTTCATGTTGCGACTCAGTTACTCTGTAAAACACTCTTCTCTGATTGTAGAGATTTGTTGTTTTTTACCATGCAGACATTTTATCTTAGCTGTACTCTAGAGAGAGCTGCAGCTACAGTTTAGTTTATCTGACTCTTATCTAGGGCTGCATAAAAATAAAAGCAGTAAACTGTTTACAGCATTGTGATGTCTAAGCTCGTTTATAATACCAAATGTGGTAATTCCCCATTAGATAACCATAGCAAATACACTTTTTTCCTTGCATAGTAAACTATACATATTCAAAATAAACTTGAAAAATAAGAGTATATGAGGGAGGGTAGAACAGAAAAAAATTGTTATTGATTATCATTATGCTTTTGTATTTTAAATTTCTTTCTATTAAGGGCAATGATAGAGGGTAAATTGGAGGTAGCTTCAAAACACTGTGGATGAGCACTGGTATTTACTGGACCAGTGAGATACTGTTACACCTGTCTGTAGGCTGCTTAGTTCTGTGCAGAACAGCAGCAAAATCCTCTTCCTTCTTCAGCAACTCTTCTGGAGGTTAAAGAGGCTGAATTCTCCATTCCTTTCCCCTATAGTTAATGTTTTAAAATGAGAATGGAGGTATTTGACTGGTCCCTTGTATTTGCAAGCAATTATACAATCTGCAAGAGAATGCGGTCTGGGATGGTTTCGAATGCTTGGGAACCTGACAGAGTGCTGTTAATGGTATTTATTAATGTTCTGTGTTCTATAAGTATTTTTCTCAATGAATCAAAAAATAAAAATCCTATTTTTGTTATCATGTCATAGTTTTATTGTTGCAAGTGATCCTCAAGTCATTGGACAATTCTTTTGCTTCCTAACAGAGACAAAAGTTTGTATCTTTGGTATATGTATGTGATACTGTGATATTTTATTGCTTGTCGTCTCAAATCATTCCGGGCCAAGAACAACAGTATAGTGTGAATCATAGACTGCAAATGATCTTACACTTTAATTTCCTTGTCAGCCTTGCACTCTTTATATTTTTTTTTTTTTTTTTCCTCTGTGACCGTGAGCAGCACCATAGGGTTTGTGGGCATTGGCCTTTTGGTAAATTCTTGCAGTTTCATTGAACAGTAATTAGAGTTTTTTAACTGGTGTAAACTGTAAAGCTGCATGCATATACAGTATCATATGTGAAAACACTTCTTTTTAAGCTGTTAAAATTCTGGAAGATCTGAAAGAAGGGGGGAATGAAAATAAATGTTGGAGTATAATCGTTGGGATTAGCTGCATGGGGGATACCATGAGAAGGCAGTGAACTGAGAGGCAGAAAATGAGCCATGCTCTGGTTAAGACCATGTGATGCAATATTTCGTATGGATTCAAAATAACTACTGTATTAATCTAAAGCTGTGCAGCTGGCAGCTCATATGTATGTTAAGAACTATCCTTTGGGAGTATCTGATTTCTTAGTGGATGGTGGGGGAAGAAGGTGGTCTTTTTCATTTTCAAAAGGTCTTTCAAAAGTTATTCAGAATCAACTTACGCTTAGAGAAATTATCTTTAGCAACAGGAACCACAACAAATCACTTTGGGGCTGTTAGATGTATATATATGTTCAGAGCGTAGGAATAGGGACAGGCTGACTAAATGAAGTTGACATCAGCCAGGCTTTTGCTAGCGTGGTGTTGAGTGTGAGCATTTAGCACATGAGTTATATCCAAGCATCATTCTGCACCAAAAAAGCATCGTAAGAAAGATCACCTTTAAACTGGCCTGTCCCTCGGTGCATCTTTAAAGTAGTACGTCTTCCAAAATTATGGCTTCACTCTTACACAATGTGAGTTTAATACAAAATGGAGAAAGGACCAAGAGTATTTCTCCATCTGTAGAATATTTGCTAATTAAGCTTTAGCAAGGGCACACCTGAGTGTGCAAATGAAGGTTAATGGGATTGAGCAGTTGTAAGACCTTCATTTGACTTGGAGAGCTTTACTGCAGTCAACAGCGCGTAAGACTGACAGAGCCCGGTTCATCTGTGCTGAATTGAAAGATCCAACTTCCTTTTTAGCTCAAACTAAGCAAACCTGACATGGATATTGGAGAGATGATGAATGCACAAAGCCACCCCAACTCTTCTAAACTGGATTTTTTATTAGACTTAAAATTATTTTATTGCTTTCTGCAAAGAATCTGCTGGGAAAGTTTGGTGTTTGTGACTGAACAGGGTGGATAAGTACATTTTGAAAGGAAGATACATCTTGTTTTAGCATTTTTAGTTGGTTCTGTGTGGCCTCTAAACTGTGGAAGGAGTGGAGTCCTTTTGTTGATTTAGTAACAAGAAAGGTGCTAACAGATTGGAAAGAAACTTTTGGAAGTTCGTTGCCTCCTTCATATGTATCACATTGCCTGTAGAATACAGGG